GAGAGAGAGAGNNGAGAGAGAGAGAGAGAGAGAGATGCATTCCTGCACTCAATCAAAGGTCTTTGTTAGACTACCGACAGTTCCTTGATATAGATAGCTAATTTGTGTTGGTGATTGTATCTACGAAAGATTTTTCATTGGCTGATCCTCTTATTGAACTTTCTCGCAGCTCTGTGTACCGGGATGCACCTGCCTATCCCCTGGAGGCTTGGTGAAACTGGTGGAGGGTGGTGGGTTGCCTCGGCTGAGGCACCTCTCGTTACATGGTCTCTACAACATAACCCATGAACACCTCCACCGCCTCAACTCTCTCCTCAGCCCAAGGAACCAACCACTATCACAAAGAAGTAGGCGAAGGCTCTATGGCGTACAAAACATGGCAATAACAGATGGCAATGAGGACACTCATCAATCACTTGATATCGAGATTTGTCCTAAGTGTAAGGGCACAAGGTTAGTATTTGATTGCCCTAGGGATGGTTCATCCCATGAGTGTCGGGGTTGCATTTTTTGCATCCCTCGGTGCGAGGAGTGTGGGCAATGTCTCTGTCCTGATGAAATCGAAATGACATTTTGCGCCGACCTCTTATGCCCGCCTTGCTGGCTCAACCTCCCCAAATGTTTACTTTGCAACCGTCCAGGGTGTGCCCGCCATGCTGGGCCCCATGCTAGAAGCCCTGGTGCACATTTTGTGTGCGAGTCATGCCACTATCACCAAACTTCTCTGCTTTTGTGAGACACCTTAACTCAAGACACCTGGATACTTGTTTACGGTTAGCTTCCTACATGTGATGCGAAACATCATTGAGTAGTCTTAGGACACTTTAAAAATGATATAAATATGAAATTGTAATTTGCGTAAAATGTATATGCATGATGATAATCATGATATAATATATCTAACTGGACATAAATATGTAATATACGATGCCTTAAATATATATGTAATATAAGATGCCTGAAATATACATGATTGTACAATTAATATATGTATTTGATACCCCTTTGTATTACGTACTACATGGTATGCCCATAACTTGTTACATGGAAGATTTTGTTTTTCATGTGTTTATCCGCATGAGTGTGATGTGTGTTCGCGTGTGTGTGCGTGACTATCTTGCATCAGACAAGATAATCCTATCCATCCTCACATAGGGAATGCTTAGTTGTATGTTCCTGGATTTGTGTACATATACATATTTGTGTCCAAGCATATTTAGCACCTTATGCACTCAAACTTGTTAACTTGGTGCAAAGAAAACAAGTCTTTGTTCTGCATTTGGGTGTACAATCCTTGTAAATTGCTTTTCTTTCAGAATGCAATAATCCATATATTGTTGGCTTCTCGTAGATGTTAGGGCTTGAATACCATCATTGGCACTACCCGCTACATCAGGGCTGTGAATCATACTACTCTCTAACTACGGCATTACTGGTGCTCTCTCTCTCTCTCTCTCTATCTCGCTCTCTCTCTCTTGCCCCCCCCCCCCCCCCCCTCTCTCAGAGGGGCAGGAACCATGTGGCTCCCTTCCTGGATATAGCTTCATGTTGTTGGTTGAAGTGACATGGCAGCGACATAATAGTGGTGGCTGCAATGCGCAATGCTGGTGGTGGTTATGGTGGCAGTAGCAGTGATGGAGGCAGTGGTGTGGCGGCCACAATTATGCTGTTATGGGGGGCGAGGGGTAGTTGTGAAGAAGGATCTTTTCCCACAGCAAATCTTTAGATATGTCTTACCACATTCTAAACTTATGTTCTAATTCCCATCTTATATTGTTCAATTTGATGTGTAGTTGGGCCGAGAAATGGTGTCCAACCATGCCCCTTACAGTTCTATATCTTGCAAGGTCCTGTATGGCAGAATTATCGCAATGGAGCACCGAAACACTGCATTAATTGTTGATATGTTTTGCATGGTTTCTCCCTTTCTAATCTCTCAAATTAATAGAGGTATTTTATATACGGCCCTGTTCATGGCTTCTCTATATGAGTTAGCTTCCCTGCCACATATTTAGGACGTGCCCCAAGAGCTAACATGTTTAACCGGTTGGCCTAAGTGAATTTATCTGGTGTTTCTTTTTTGAATTTTAGGGACTTTGAGTTCTAATCTTGCACCTAGCATATAGTATAATATTGTACAGGGTAGTAAGATTGATCATCCACTGTCTATATTTCAAATTCGCACGTGTATGGTATAGGGTCCTGGGACTGGCCATCCACAGTCCATAATGAATGATAGTGGAGCTCAGCCTGTTCCAGAGAGTGGGAGAATGGCTCATCACCATCATCTGTTGATTAGTACGGGCAGTAGACAGTCATATTCTGCATTCTGCCCTTCCCCAACTTTGTTTGGAAATACAAGAGCCTGCTGACTTACAAACGTCTATAGTGTAGTCTATAAATAAGATATGGATGGTTCATAAAAAAATATTAAAAAAATATATTTTTAATTGTAGAAGTTTTCTTTTTTCTTTTTTTTTCATATTTATAATCATCTTGGCCTAGATGATACATCAACACAAAAAAATTAGAAAAAAAAAAAATCACCAAAAATGAATTTTAGTGAGGGCTGCTGCATATGTACATATGAGTCGGCGGACACAGAGAACCCCAATCCAACTTGTTTTTTGTAGCACTTAGTTTGGCATACATTCTAACAGACCGGTAGACAATGTAGAAGTCTAAGTAGCGTCCTTGTTATTTATTGCTTTACAATGGAAGGGACCCTCCGAAAAGGCTTAATGGCTCGTTTAGCTCATGTGTTAACAAACCTGTTTTTTAAGAAAAAAACCTTATTATGCTAAACTTTGGTTATTTTAAAACCTGGTTACTGAAAGAGGACTGTTTAGATGACTTTTAATAGCAACCACGTTATGTAGATCTCATGTTTGGATCATCTTTTTGTATAACCTGGTTTGCCATTAGGAGTTATTTGGTACGCCTGAAATTTGATAAGAAAATATTTTAAAAAAAATATTTAGGCTCGGTTTGGATAATAAAAAAGCCTTCACATTTAAAAAAATTGTAAGTTTTATAATCCTTAGTTTAGAAATATAATCCTCTTTTTTTTATTAGTCTGCTGGACTGTTTAGATGGTGTGTGAAAATACTAAAAAGCAGATTTTGCATTCTACCCTTTCAAAATTTTCTTGCCATTCCAAAAGGTTTTCCTAGATCCCTCCCATTAGTAAAAATTCAGCTTCTCTACAACTTTCTCTCTCTAAAAGCTGAACACCTCAAAATATCCTGCCAAAACTCCCACCCGAAAACCCCAAAAATCAACATAACCATGAAAACCCAAAAATCAACATAACCATGAAATCCAAAGAAACCTACTTGAAAGTAAATACCATTACCTCTAAAACCTCATTTGAAATAAATCGTGGTTTTAAGTTAGCCCTTTCTTTTGGAGCAACACCATTAAATTCAGCCCTTTCTTTTGGAAAGAGGACACTAAGGGTTTAAATTTACAAGGAGCGAAAAACCCTGATTTGCAAATGTATTTTCAGAATTATTTGTGTTATTGATGGCACAATCTAACCAAGAGAGCTCCATTAGCGGCACCACTCTAACTGGTCAATCGCTTGCAATCTAGAAGAAGCCATTGCAGTCGGTTCTGTAGACTGTGAAGCTTCAGAATCTTCATTCTTCAAGTTGCACCACAGATTTGGATTCTGCATGCTTGATGCCACTAAACCATTAGCAACACCGGATAGATTCTGCATGCTTGGTGCCACTAAACCATTAGCAACACCAAAGGAACTTCCTAGATAAAGAAAGATGCGGGAGTTTGCGTTTTTTGTGTTTGCAATGAGAGAGAGAGCGAGAGAGTTGGGTTGTTGGGATATAGGTAAATAGAGAGAGCTGGGTGCCACTAAACCATTAGCAACACCAGAGGAACTTCTTAGATAGAGAGAGATATGGTAGTTTGGGTTTGCAATGAGAGAGAGATATGGGAGTGGGTTTTCGGGTTGCAATGAGTGAGAGCGAGAGAGTTGTTGTTGTTGTTGGGTCATCAGTAAATAGATAGAGCTGGGTGGAGGTTTGCACGGGGTGAGAGAGCCGTACTTTCATAAAAAAAAATTGTTACTTGTTGGAAGTATTTTTTATTTCAATAAAAAAATCAAGTAAAATCTTGCTATTTGTCCAAACAATTTAAAGCCTTGTTTGACAATATTTTTGGATTGCAATCTAAAAATATTCAAATTTTAGGTACATCCAAATTGGCATTTATGCAAACAATTTACTCAAGCATGTTTTTTCTCATGTTTGGTAAACCTACTTACAAACAAGCATAGAGATGGAGAGAACATATCATACTTGAAATTTTGAAAGAGTTTATCTCTCTAAAATTTCAAATTGAATATAGTATCTCTTCAAAAATTTTGAGATAGTTTATCTCTCTTAAAAATTGAAATTTAAGATACTTTCTTTCACTAAAAACTAAAAGAATTTCTCTTTTCATAGATTTTTAGTTAGTTTTTCTAAAATTTGATATAGTTTCTCACTAAAATTTTAAGATGTTGGCTTTTCAAAACTTAAAATTTGAGATATTTCTCTCTAAAAAGTTTGATATAGTTTATCTCACTAAAATTTTTCAAGCAGTTTCTCCCTCTAAAATTTGATATAGTTTCTCTTCAAAATTTTAAGGTACTTTCTCTCTCTAAAACGTAAAATTTCAAATAGTTTCTCTCTCTAAAGATTTTTGAAATAGTTTCTCTCACTAAAATTTTTCAAGTAATTTATTTCTCTAAAATTTGGATTAGTTTCTATCAAAATTCTAAGATACTTTCTCTCTCTAAAACTTAAAATTCGAGATAGTTTCTCTCTAAAGATTTTGAGATAGTTTCACTCTTTAAAAACTTTCAGGTGGTTTCTCTAAAATTTGACATAGTTCATTTCTCTAAAATTTTAATATATTTTCTCTATCTAAAACTTAAAATTTGAGAATTTTAGATACTTTCTCTAACAATTTTGAGGTAGTTTCTCTCTTTAATTATTTTTTAAATAATTTCTCTCTTTAAAATTTGATATAATTTCTCTCTAAAGATTTTGAGATAGTTTCTCTCTAAAAAATTTTAGATAGTTTCTCTCTTTAAAATTTGATATAGTTTCTGTCTCTACAATTTTAAAGATACTTTCTCTCTAAAACTTAAACTTTGAAATAGTTTCTCTCTCTCTAGAATTTTTCATCTAGTTTATCTAAAATTTAATACTATAGTTTCTCTCTAATACTTGAAATTTGAGATCATTTTTCTCTCTAAAAAGTTTGAGATAATTTCTCTCACTAAAAATTTTCAGGTAGTTTTGCTCTTTAGATTTAATATAGTTTCTATCTAAAATTGTAAGTTACTTTCTTTCTCTAAAACTTAATTTGATATAGTTTCTCTCTATACAAATTTAGGAAGTTTCTCTCTCTAAAATTTTGAGATACTCTCTCTCTAAAACTTAAAAATTTAGATAGTTTCTCTTCAAAAATTTTGCGATAGTTTCTCTATCTAAAAAATTTTCAGATAGTTTCTCTCTCTAAAATTTGAGATAATTTCTCTCTCAAGATTTTGAGATAATTTCTCTCTCAAAATTTTCTTAGGTAGTTTCTCTATTTAAAATTGGATATAGTTTCTCTCTACAATTTTAAGTAACTTTCTCTCTCTAAAATTTTCAACTAGTTTCTCTCTCTAAAATTTGATATAGTTGCTAAAAATTTAAGATATTTTCTCTCTCTAAAACTTGAAAATTGAGATTGTTTTTATCTCTAAAAAGTTGGATATAGTTTTTCACTAGAATTTGCAGGTAGTTTCTCACTCTAAAATTTGATATAGTTTCTCTCTTTAAAATTGTAAGATACTTGCTCACTCTAAAACTTAAAATTTGAGATAGTTTATAAAATTTAAGACAGTTTCTCTATGAAAAATTTCAAGTAATATATTTTTTTAAAATTTGATATAGTTTCTCTCTCTAAACTTTAGATTTGAGATAATTTCTCTCTCTAAAAATTTAAAATAGATTTTCTCTCTAAAATTTAATGTAGTTTCACTCTCTAAAATTTTAATATACTTTCTTTCTCTAATATTTAAAATTTGAGATTGTTTCTCTCTAAAAAGTTTTGGGTAGTTTCTCTCTCTAAATTGTTTTAGGTAGTTTATCTCTCTATAATTTGATATAGTTTCTCTTTCAAAAAAATTTTGAGATAGTTTCTCTCTAAAACGTTTTGGGTAGTTTCTCTCTCTAAAACTTTTTAGGTAGTTTTTGTCTCTAAAATTTGATATAGTTTCTCTCTCAAAATTTTTTAAGATAGTTTCTCTCTCTAAAAATTTTCATATAGTTTCTCTCTTTAAACTTTAATAAAATTTCTCCTAATTTTATTATATTTTCTCTATCTAAAACTTAAAATTTGAGATAGCTTTTGTTTCTAAAAATTTTGAGATAGTTTCTCTTTCTAAAATTTTAAAAAACTTTCTCTCGATCAAAATTAAAATTTGAAATGGTTTCTTTTTTTAAAAATTTTGAAATAGTTTCTCTCTTTAAAATTTCATATAGTTTCTCTCCAAAATTTGATATAATTTCTCTATTTAAAATTTTAATATACTTTATCTCTCCGTAAAATTAGAAATTTGAGATAGTTTCTCTCTCATAATTTGTGGGCTCCGGTGTATGAAAATAGTAGTAGTAGTGGTAGCATCAACAATAGTTGTAGTAGTAGAGCCGATGCTTTAAACAATCAAATTAGAGCCCATGTAAAAAATGTCACTACAAGAAAAAATGGATTTCAAGTTTTGAAAATAGTGCATCTTGTAACGCATTTTTGGACAGTCAATTTTCAAGATTTTCAAGTTTTTATAGATGTGCTTGATCTACATTATTTTAAGCTGTAAATTTTATAATTAAAGACAACAAATATATTTTAAGGCTACCACAAAGATTTCCAATATTGAAATCACATTTCTCGATACTATTTGAAGGTGGGCTCTACGTTGATTATTTAGAGCCTCGACTCTATACAAACTGCACCTTTTTATGTTTATAATAATATTGTATTACTAATATCATTATACAATATTATTTGTATGGGTTATATTAGGGTATTCATGCATGCGAGTATTACCTGATGTACTCAACATTTTTAGACATTTAATACTCTAACCCTATACTAGAAATTCATGATAGAAAGAAGATAGTTTATTAATTATAAGTAGAGAATGATTTCATCCATATGAGGTGTTGCATCACCCACATGAAATATTAAATGCCACTAAGTTCTTATATAAATATCTATCTTATCCCTCATATTGACAAAAATACCATTGCTCAAATAAATTTTGTACAACAAAAAATGGTAATTAGTGTAAAAAAATATCCGAATACATTTAGTCAATACTTACATGTATGTGTATCCTAACATAATCCTATTAATATTTGTTATTCTAAATATTCTCTCACCCTTGCATAAAGTCATATTTTGGATGAGCCAACTTTTCCTTTGACTTTGGGTACCCATATTTTAGCCTCTTTCTTGCGCATAGAAAACATGATTATAGTCCAAAAAAAAAAAATTGCCACACATGTTTTTGCGCAAAACATGATTTTGGATACCATAGGATCCAAACGACCATAAGAGTATGATACTCTTTGAGAAGCACCTTGGATACCATAGGATCCAAACGACCATAAGAGTATGATACTCTTTGAGAAGCACCTCAGAGGAGGTGACTTACTTTACATCTTCTCATTTATGATATTTTAGGACGAGCTTGGAGTGGTTTGATCATATTTTGGACATAGTTCGAAAATTTGGCTGCTTGGCTGCTTAGGTAGCATTTAGGCTGGTCACCTAGGCGCCATGCGTCTTGGGCACCTAGGTGGTGCCCTTTGATAGGGAGGCAGAGGGCGGAAAAATACGGGGGCATTTTCGAGATCCCCCCTAAAGAGGGGAAAATGGTTTGCCGAACATTCTTGTCCCCTAAACCTCTCTTGTACTAAATAATTTGGGATTTGAGATTTTTTAAAAGATTGAAAAATATTTCACTTATTCAATTTTTTGTGAAAACAAAAGGATTACTTAGAGAGAGTTTTTGGAGCTTGAAGTGGTAAGATAAGAAGAATTCTGGCAACCCAATATGACTCGTTTGGGCCGATATCAGTTTCATTTTAAAAGCTTAGTGACTTACAATATTTTAATTAAGATTTTCTATTTTTTTGGGTGCAATTTGGAGCGGTCACGAGTGCCTTTTGGTGACAAAGAATACTAGTTTGGCCTATGTGAATTTCATTTTGAAAAGGTCAGTGAATTATAATATTTTAAATAGGGTTTTCTATTTTTAGATATTCTCATATTATTTTGTGTTTCTTCTTTTATATTTTTACATGTTTTCCTTTTTGGTATTTTGATAAGGACACCGCCGGGGGATCTTTCTTCTTGGCACCCGCTGCCGGCGTCTGCCCGCCCCCAAACTTCCTAGGCGGCCGCATCCGACTTCTTGAACATGACCTGATTTTTATGTTGGCTTCCCTGCCATATGGTGTCCTGTTAGGCCGTAAACCAGTATACAAATATAGTATTCTCATACGGTATCAGTTACATTGGTTTCCGACAGGCTGGAGGCTTCAGTGGTAAATTCAACAAATGAATCAACTAAAACATATTTTGTGTTAAATTCAACAAGTGAATCAACTAAAACATATTTTATTTGTTTGCATTTATTTCATGTTGGAAACTTTGGATACTTTTACTTGTTGGAGAAAATGGTAAGTGGAGTTGGTGAGCCGTTGTTCAAGACCAGCAATAGCAAATTGAGTCTCACTAACCAATTTACACTGCTATCATTTTCTTTAACCATCTCTGCCATTATTTCCATCCTCGATTGCTGACTTACTTAGGAAACTCGAATTCACAAGAAACAGCAATGACTTAATCGACAAATTCAACAACTCTCCAACTAAAAGATTCAATTACCAGCACAATGGTCCTGGTATAAAGATATCCAGTGGTATGAGCTCTATCAGAAGGTTGCTCTGCCTTGCTTTCATAGTCTCTTTCTGTAAGTGCTGTCACTCACTCACTCAGAGGTGACAATGGCGACTCCGTGCTATGTGTGGTTGTGGTTATTGGTCACTTTAATTGTGACAAAGGCCGTAGTACCTCAGGTAATGGCAGATGGGCCTGTGACATTTATTTTCGGGGACTCATTAACAGATGTTGGGAACAACAATTACCTTCAATTCTCTCTTGCCAAGTCTAATTTTCCTTGGTATGGAGTTGATTACCCAGGGGGCCGACCCACCGGAAGATTCACTAATGGAAGAACAATTGGTGATATCGTAGGTGAGTTTCTTAATGCGACTGTTCTATCCTTATTGCCTCTCTGTTAGTCCTGAACTCCAAGCCAATATTTTGATTCTCAGTAAGATATGAATTGTAGTATTGATTTTGATTTGTTTGGAAAATGCAGCTGAGAAGCTGGGGATTCCATCGCCTCCACCTTATCTCTCATTGTCTCCAAGTGATGATGCCATCCTTCGAGGGGTGAATTATGCATCCGGAGGCGGCGGCATTCTCAATGAAACTGGCATCTATTTTGTAAAACTCTATGCACTAGCCCAAATGTTTTAAGCACATCTTTAGTATAATGTACATTTATTCCCGAGGGTAAAAGTGAAAGAAGGACAGTGTGATCTAGCTGGAGTATATAATAATTTTTTTTCTTTCTTTTTCAATTATTTTTTATTTTTTTTGCAGTCTTGATCACTCACAAGTAGTCTTTTCATAATACAATAATTTCAAATAAACTAGAATAAAAAATACAATATGATCTCAAAGACTTGAAGTCATTCAAAAACCTTTCTTTCAATAACAAAAAAAGATACAATCTATGCTTGAAAATAAAAGATATAATAAATAAATATAGAAGAAACAAAAGATGGTGCATGAGATTACCTCAACCAAGCTTAGGACACTCCATGTCGAATCTCATTATTCCGATAGTGTTTAGGATTTTTGATCGGTCTCTTGATTTTTTCTTCTTACGACAAACCCAATCAATGCATATGGATCTCGATCTAGAACCATCCACCTAAAGCCTCCATGCTTAGGCCTAATTCAAGCCCCTTGGCTTGATCCTTATGAGGTATAAAAATCAAAAAAGGAAGAAGAAAACTACTAGCTAGAGATGATCCCTTTGCTGCCCACAAAATCACATAACTAAAACCTAGCTTGATTTAGAACTCATGTGAGAGATTCAATCTTAATATAGCATAGCTTGGGTGTGCGCCTTTTACAATAGTTTATGAGAGAGAGGGAGTAACCTATGTGGGGCGTGCCCATTAAAGAGGCAAGAGAGAGAGAGATTCTATTTTAGAGAGAGAAGAGAGAGTAAGTAAGAGGTGTAGAGACGAGAGGAGAATGATAACTTTTATAAATTTTTCATGCATTAGGGTTTGCCATAAAATTGTGGGAACAAATCTTGATTGTTGATCTAAAGTGACTTGTGGGATGAGAGATGTGAGCCATCCATTCCCCAGATCTACCATTAAGATGAGCTAAGAAATATGCTAGAACCTTATCTTCCATTCCTAAACATATTCCAATTAAATAAGTTAAATAAAAAAAATATTTATTTACGTTCTCTAATAGTAAAAATTCATTTCCTTTCTCAATCAAACCTTCTTGATTCTCAATATTTTAAAACCACATATTTCCACGTAGGCTTCTCTATAAAATGAAAGCCAACTAGCACGAGATGCCCCACGCAATATTTACCAAGAAAAGGCAATCCCCTGCCTATAGGGAATTGCCTTTTCTTAGTAAATATTGTGGGGCATCTCATGCTAGTTGGCTTTCATAGGCCCATGGGCTATGGGCCCCACCCAATTGTCCCACTCTTTGGTGGCTACTCATGGGCCCCACCCAATTGTCCCACTCTTTGGTGGCTACTCATAGGCCCCACACAATTGTCCCATGTGATTTAAATGGACATCCACTAATTATGGAGGGTCCCACATATTTTAGAAACAATAAAAATTGATTTTTAGATTTTTCAAACTTTTTAGTTTATTTAAAACTTTAGAAATGATTTTCTCTTGTTTTATAAATCCAAATGTTAAATTAAAACATCAGAAGATTCATAAAAATTCAAATAAACATTCTAAATATCAAATAACATAAAATTAATTAAATTTAATTGATTTTGATGGGAATTGGATCCGAATAGGTATAAGATTTAATCAACGCATAGGAGTACTCCACCTTCAATTATGGATCACGATCCACACTGGCTTTCTCAAACTGACCCAGTAGTTCTCATGACCCATAGTCCACTGCAGGGGTTCATGATTGGATCGTTATAGTCAATAAATGGGCTAGGGGATGTAATCTCAGTCTGTGCATAGGGCTAATCTCTCGCACATGTACACGCTTCACTCTCATTGATGGATTACTAGCTCAATACTGCTATCTGGGAACATGCCGTTTGATGATACAACAATGAGGTTTTAGTCATGTCTCTAAAGACTATTCATCACACATAAGGGTCATACTGTCTCTCGACTTTCATCTAGGTATACTCTGACCTCATCAAGGGCTAACCCACTAAACCCTTCTTGGTTTCATCTTTATGCCCAGGTACTTTGGGTTTTTCAACTCAGCTGGCCTAGCACGTCAAGCTAAGTTCTAGTATCGGTAAATTGCATTTGCCTAGTATAGTCCACAAGAGGACCACACTCCCTTTGAATTTATGTTTTATTATAATAGCCATATAAACCCAACAAAAAGACCTACTTAGGGAGAAATTTTTAATTGTGAAATCCGAGCAAAAAAAAAAGAAAGAATAGAAGGGTCAAATTTATAAAAATACAAATAAGAGATAAACAACATTTTACTTATATGTTTTGACTTAATTTTGAAATCCCACCAAAATACACTTGTACCAAATGTAAATGGCCTCATTATATACTTTCCTTTTTTTTATTTCTTCTAAAGTTTGTAATTGGTTTGAGGAGGCTACCATCCCCAATTTTAGCTCCTGGGAAGCATCTTAGACATGGGTTTACCCAATGAAGTGATTCTCCAAAATGCTCCAGCACGAGTGTAGGATAATTTGAATAATTTGGCTACATAAAATGAAGTTTCTACATTTTAGATCTATGCAATTCCATCAAAATTATGTTTTTGCTCATCTTTAGTACAAGCATCGACGTCTAGATGGCCTTTGAAAAAAAGTGCCCCATTTTCTAGAGTGAAATATTTTAAAAATTTCTATTTTTGGGATACATCCAATTCATATTAGTATATTGCATACTATAATCCCAATGATTATTTAAAAACTTATTGTCCACGTGGTGGATGGCGGTTAGGGAAAGGGAATGGAACCAGCTGGAATAATTTCTTGGTCATCTCCATCATCATCTATTCCTTAATGGTATCTATATATTCCACTAAAAGTATATTTTAGATCCCAAATTTTGGGAATGTGCTATCTGGCCATCAACCCTCAACCAAAAAAAAAAAAAAAGAAAAGAAAAAAAAAAGAAAAGAAAAGAAAAGAATATTAACTCACTTTCCATGTGCTTAAAAAGAATGCAGATTGCATTGGAACCATCCAAATTTTTGACGGCATGATCTATCTATTCAAACACTCAAAATCCAGATTTTTTTCTTTAAAAATAATCATCTACTTATTATTAGATAGATCTATAAATTTAAAATAATAATAAAAAAAAAGACGTAGTTTCTATGCTAGCGTGCTTGCACAGGCGGGCAACAGAGGTGATTGCTAGATGGATGGTGGTGATTGCAAGAGAATATCTTGCAATCACCGTCGTCCAACTTACATGGATATTGGATAACTTCTCCTGGCATGGCCAATGCCTGCCTGAAACAATTAATCTAAAAAAAATCAAGTGTTCTGCCCGAGGGAGTAAATATATAGTATGTTCCCGGAAATTTATTTGGCTAAATGAAAATATACAATTGATTTTTCTTAGTAAAATGGGCAAGCTAAGAGATAAAGAAGAGAAAAAGAAGTTGTAAGAGAAGCTCACCCATGTTTGCAGATACAGAAGATGTCATTTGATGATCAGATTAATAATTTTAAGAAGACAAAGAATGCAATGAAGGTCAAGATTGGGGAGGCGGCAGCCGAGACGCTCTGCAACAATGCTATCTACTTTGTGGGGATGGGGAGCAACGACTATGTCAACAATTTCTTGCAGCCATTCCTGCCCGACGCCCAGCAATATTCGCCTGACGATTTCATCGACTTGCTCACTGCTACTTTAAACCGACAACTCATAGTAACGCTCTCTCTTTGACTTAAATAGTTGGGATAAGACTCAGATGAGCGATGATGATATTTATACATATACATAGAAAACAATGCCAGCACACAAAAAAATTGAGAACTCAATCCTATCTTGCGTCTAGTGAAACTGAGAGTCGATCCATATCTATATGTGCATGAGAGAGAACACAAACACACACATAGGAAAAAGTTTACATAAGGTTGCAACCTTAAAATGTAGAATTATAAATGCACCTCAAAAATCTATTGAAAAAGGTTGTTTTAATGTTGAAAAAACCTCGAATTGATCATCTTGATGTATGAATATGAGAAGAAAAGAAAAAAAAAGAGATTTTGAGTCCTAGAAATAATGCATTTTGTAATACATTATCTAGACCTTCTATTTTCAAGATTTTCATAGGATTATAGATCTACTTGATTTTAACCATTTTTGGAGTTTAAAATTTTATAATTAGATATGAAAATAGATTTTGAGATAATCTTAAGAATTTTTTTCACCAAAATTACATATTATGATAAAATTTGGTGGTGCACCTTAATTG